CTACACCAGTCAAGGATCCACTACAGGGTTTTAAAAAAGGGAGTGGCATAACCTGGCATGCATATTTAAATGCTTCTATGTGGAGAATGAATCACTGGACAAATAATGAAGCCAGTATGGAAGCAGGAGGATGAGTAAGCTGGGCTAGGCAACAGCTGATGGTGATGCTTTAGGCCTGTGGGGAAGCAATGGCAACGAAGTGGAGATATCCAAATTATGCTTTGAAGGTAAATGGATTACTTTGTGAAAGGTAAGAAAAGTGGGAGAATGAAAACATATGGTAATTTTTAGACTGAAAATTGAGGGGTTGACAGTGGATGAGCAGGACTATTTTAGAAACAGGTTTGGTGGAGAAAATCAAGAGTTAAATTCAAGATAGCCATTAGAAATCTAAGGGGACAAGTGAACACTGGGACACAGGAATCTGAAGCTGGGTAGGGAGAAGACTGGAGTGGAGTTATCCAGAACTGGGTGAAATTGCCTAGGGGAAGAACGGAGACAGAGAGGAGAACAGTTCAGGAACAAGCTCTGAGGCATTTCAATGTTAGGGAGCTGGCAGAGGAGGAGGAGCCAGGAAAGGAGACTGATAGGTCAGTGAAAAAGAAAATGTGATATCATAGAAGGTAAAAGAAAGTGTTGCATGATGAAAGGGTATGGACTGTGAGGAATGCTTCTGAGAGCTCTGGAAGATGATACAAGATAACACTGGATTTTACAACTTGGAGGTTGCTGCTGATGCTGGTTAGAGAAATTCAATGACTTGGTAAGGATGGAGGTCAGACTGGAATGAGTTAAAGGGATTAAAGAAGACAAAAGAATGACAAACAGAAAATGAGATGGCAAGGCCCAAATATATCAGTAATTCCAATGACTATAAATAAAGCAGAATCACAGATTGAGAGAGATACCAAGGCTCTCAGATTTTATTTAAAAAACTAAATCTGCCCTGGCTGACATACCTCAGTGGAGTGAGTGCGGGCTGCAAACCAAAGTGTCGTAGGTTCGATTCCCAGTCATGGTACATGCCTGGGTTGCAGGCCATGACCCCCAGCAACCGCACATTGATGCTTCTCTCTCTCCCTCTTTCTCCCTCCCTTTCCTCTCTAAAATAAATAAATAAATAAATCTTTAAAAAAAAAACAACCTAAATCTGAGTATGTTTTTTAAGCAACAGAATATTTTGTTAACATTTATTGTTGTTCTAAATTTTTATTTATTGATTTCTTAGAGCAAGGGGGGAGGGAGGAAAGAGAAAAAGGAGGGAAGGGAAGTGGGGGAGAGAGAGAGAGAGAGAAACATTGATTGGTTGCCTTCCAGGGATTCAGAATAAATGGAGGCACAAGCTATTTCTCCTTCTGTAGCTTACATCATAGAGATGAAGACAAAAAATTTAAAGATACATAAATAAGACAACCACAGGTTGTAATACGTGCTACAATGAAGTTCAGTGATGAGAACCTTTAATTTATGATAAGGGATAAACCTCAAATCTGAATAGGTAATACTATTGTGGTAATTTTCTTTTTTTAAGAGAAAGCATTTTATATGTCATAAAAAATGTCAAGACTTCTGGTGAAGATGGTGGGGTAGGCAGACATAGTGCACCTCTTCCATAACCACAACAAAATTACAACTAAAATATAGAACAACCATCACTCAGAACCGCCAGAAATCGAATTGAATGGAAGTCTGACAACAGAAACCACATCCGTCCTAACTGAGCAGGCAGACTGGCACCCTATCTAAGATGCCATCAACCTGGCTAACACTGCCTGACTCACCTTGGAGATCCCCACCGACCCACTCTACCCAACTCACTGGCCCACCCAAGCCGCTTTTCCGTATGAATGGCTCATCTTGGCTCATGCTTCACAACTTTTTAAATCCTCTCAAACAAGCAGCAGCTGGCCTCAGTGAATCCCAGGCCTGGAAATAGCAACCTAGATTCACAGCTTGCCTTTGCCTGGGAATCTCCAAGCCCAGCACAAGTAGCAGCTACCTTAGATTGCTTTATAATTCAGGCAGAATGGCCCCATGCAAAATACAGGTGGAGGCTGATCTTGGCCTGCACCACCCAGGAAACCCCAGGGCCAGTACGCTCAGTGGACAGCCACAGACCATGTCAGAGTACTGCCACCCTTCCTCTGAATGGTTGATCCTCCACGGAGGACGAAGGTTTTGTTCAGTAGTCACAGCCAGTTCTTGCAGCTGACTGGACTGGGTAAATCCCTCCCACTGATCTTCCAACATCAACTAAGGCTCCAATATATGAGGAGGGTGTACTCAGCCCACACAAGTGGCACAATTCAAGTATCCAGTTTCACTGACAGGGGAGGCTGTGCCACTGGACCTTACAGGGACACCTACTACATCAGAACACATTACCAAGACAGGAAGTCAAAGCAGCTCTACCTAATACATACAAACAAACAGGGAGGCTGCCAAAATGAGCAAACAAACATGGCCCAAGTAAGAACAGATCAAAACTCTAGAAAAAGAGGTAAACAAAATGGAGATAAGTAATCTATCAGATGCAGAGTTGAAAATGCTGGTTATAAGGAAGCTTAAGGAACTTAATGAGAACCTCAACTGCATAAAAAATATCTAGTCAGAAATGAAGGATACACTAATTGAAATAAAGAACAATTCATTCAGCAGAGTGGATGAAGCTGAGAATCAAACCCATAATTTGAACATAAGGAAGAAAAAAATAGCCAATCAGAACAAGAAGAAAAAAGAATCCAAATAAATGAGGACGGTATAAGCAGCCTCTGGGACAACTTCAAGCATTCTAACATTCACATCATAGGGGTGCCAGAAGGAGAACAGAAAGAGCAAGAAATTGGAAATCTATCTGAAAAAATAATGAAAATAAACTTCCCTAATTTAGTGAAGGAAATAGACATGAAAGTCCAGGAAGCACAGAGTCCCAAACAAGATGGATACAAAGAGGCCCACTCCAAGACACACCATAATTAAAATGCCAAAGGTTAAAGATAAAGAGATGGGAGGGGGTGTGGGAGAATGGGTGAGAGGTTAGGGGACTAAGTATAAATAGGTAATTACAGAATAGCCATTGAGATGTAAAGTACAGTAGCCAAAGAACTTACACACATGACCTGTGGATATTAACAAGGGTGGGGGTTGATCCTGCAGGAGTTGGGGAGGTGCAGGGTGGAGAAGGGCAAAGGGGGAAAAATCAGGACAACTGTAATAGCATAATCAGTAAAATATAATTTTAAAAATGTCACATAACAAAAGAAAATTTAAAAATATGTATTAAATCAAATATTGCAAACTACATAATAGGTAAGTTTAAGAGCTTTTTAAAAATCATATAATATTATACTGGTCCCAGATGAACATTAGAGTAATTCAGCATTTATAAACTTTACAAAGTGCTGACCACACTAAGTCTAGTAACTGTCTGTCAGTGTGCAAAATTATCACAATATTAGTGACTATATTCCTCTTCACCTTTTTTCCATCATCTCCCCTGTCCTCTCCCCTCTGGCAAGCCAGTTTGACCTGTTTGCAATGAGTCTGTTGGTAAGTGTATGTATTTTTAACATCTGAGACAATGGACTTTAATGATATTTAAAGTTAATGATATTGTAAACCTTATGATATGATTTCTTAGTACAGGTCATAAAGCAACTTTAAAATTCATTTGCATTTCAGAAAATAGGGGGGAACCACTTAAAACACAGATATTCTGTCATATCTTGTTTTCATACTAGGGGCTGGTATTTCTAGACATCGCTGGAAAATGCAACAAGACTAAGGTGATGAAAGGAAAAAGGACAAATTAGGAAATACTTGCTATTTAGTGCTTATTTCTATAAACATTTTTATTTTAGAAAATGTTTCTCTTATTTTTCTTTCAGTTTCCCCTCCTGTGTTCTCACGAGAGAGAAATGTTTTATAATCAGTACTGGCCCTGGCTGGGTCACTCGTTTGGTTAGTGTATGGTCCCAATGTGCCAAGGTTTCAGGTTCAATCCCCGGTCAGGGCACATACAAGACTCAACCAGTGAATGCATAAATAAGTGAACCAACAAATTGATGTTTCTCTCTCTCTCTCCCCTTTCTTTTCTCTCTCTCTCTCTAAAATGAACTTAAAAAAAGATGTACTGATCTAGTGGACTTAAAAATGAAGAGCTTTGTGTCCTGGCTGGGGGGCTCAGTTGGTTGGAGCACTGTGCGGTACACCAAAAGGTTGAGGGTGTAATCCCTGGTCAGGGCACACACCTAAGTTGCAGATCCCTGGTCGGGGTGCATATGGGAGGCACTGGATCAATGTCTCTTTCCCTCCCCACCACCTCCTCTCTGTCTAAAAATCAATGGGCATATCCTCAGATGATTGTATATTCAACATAAAACATTTTTACTATTTACATACTCACCTTTATCACATGTCTTATGAAAATCTGCCTTTAAATTATATTCATATCATTAACTTTTATGTTGTCTTTGAAAGAAACATTAAAAATCATTTATAAAAATTAAAGTAATTATGTAAATCTATAGTAGCATTGTTTTATATTAAGTCTTATAATGAGATTATGGAAGACCTAGTTTTTGCAATTCACATATTTTAAAATTATAAAATGAAATGGCCATATGTTTATTTGCTTGAAAAAATACCTTTTCCCAGTACTATAATTAATTCCTGAATTAACAGATTAACAGTCAACTACCTACAATACTGTTAGCCACAGATTTTACTGAAACATGTTTTATGTTTTTTTAAAAAATACTATGAAACTTGTTACTAAAAGTACAATGTCAGAATGATCATAAATGGAGCCCAAAGTTAGTTTGAACATTGAAGAATTTCTTCAATGTCTTCTATTACTTAAAACTGTACGCTGGTTTTGAAAAAAATGCTTCAGAAAGAAAGCCTACTAGAATTGAAAATTCTAAATGTATTTTATAAATCTCTACCAGCTAACACAGAGACAAATGCATAAAAGGCAAACAAAATAAAACAAAACATCCTGCAATCCTGAATTTGGCTTTTATTTTTAAATACATTTAGCATGGAACTATCATAGAACAGATAATAACAAAACACAAAGAAATATTTTCAAATACCTTTAAAGCTAGATATAAATATTAATAAGATAGCATAGACCCAATTATAGGAAATAGTCCCAAAAATTTGATTCATTTAATACATTTTGAAAAAAAAAGTTCTTTGCACATTTTCCAACGTACCGATATGTTCCCAAGTGCCTTGGTTTCCTTTCAACTAATAGGTAAAGGTCCCAAATTTAGGTGCTTTATTTAAAATCCTCAGATTCAATAATGGTAAAAACTACCATGTCCCTAAGTTGTCAATAGGAATTATAAAAATATGAGCTCAAATAGTTATGCTGCCCAAAATAGAGACATCTTAAATGATACTTCTGGATAATCAGATATTGCACTAAAGTAATTCCATACCTGATGCATGTTTATATGGAAAGTTAATTAGCTTCTTTATGGAAAACTTACTACAAATTAACTTAATGTTAACCTAATTATAATTACACTTCAAAATATAAAGGCACAGACAGAATAAAGAATAGTTTAATGCTATACCCAAATTTCCTTCTGAAAATAATAAAAAATAGAAAAAATAATGGGATCTAAATGCTGATACTTTAGATTTTATAGCTGACCTTAAGTAGCTAATAAGTGGGTATTAAAAGGTAACTGCTAAACCCAATCCTTTCCAAATAATTTAGAAAAATTGTTTGTTTACATGTGAACCTTGTGCATTGTCCAATCTATAAATTTCAGCTTTTCCATTAACTGGAAACATCTACCTTCAGTATAAACAATCAAGACAATGTACAAAAAATATATCTTGTTCTTATACCTTACAACGCACAGAAAAATACCTACAAAAATTGGAATATTTATCCATTTAGTTTTCCAATAAATTAGTGAGAAAGTTTAGCCTATTCCACATTTCTTTCTAAACAAAGGCTAAAGAATTGAGGGTGATTTAGTTCTAGCCCTGTTAGCTTGACATATTTTAAAAATATATGCCTAATTACATGTAAGTTAAGATTAAGTTAGCATCTTATTGTTATATCACAGTATACATGGCATTTCTTAATACAGCAACAGAAAGGCACAATTACCAAGCAATAAAATTCAGTACCTGAATTATTAAACTGATGTCCAGAACAACTGTAAATAAAGTACATTCAACACAGTATACAGAACTGAAGAAAAAAAAAAGAAATCCAAAAACTAATTTTTCTGAAAATTTGGTCCATTAAAAATGCCTCCCATGTTCAACATCATGGGTAACATGATGGCAGTGTAAAATGAGGCAGTAAATCAATATGTGGTAGCACATGAATCCTGGTCTAGTAATTATGCAGTTTAATTAGGAAATGGCTCCCATAGTGAATAAACACTAAATATATCTGTTAATAACAACATGCCTGTATTAAGTCCAAACACACAGGCACAACTGTTTGTATATTATTATTGATTTTATAATATACCCCCCTGTTAAAAAAACATTATTTTATATATAACATATATTAGATACATAATTGTATATTATGTAAGTTAATAAATATATGTTATATATCTTGAATCTGTAACAGCACAAAAGTCTCCAGATATTACATTAACAGTCTAAATGGGTACTCATCATTTTCTCAGTGTTGAAATAGCTCAGCTCACCTAAAGCAATATCTGGATGTGCAATGGTAAATGCACTGACTCTTCCGAATTTACTTAATTATGTAAGTTAAATTCCTGCAAAAGCCTAACGCTGATTTGGCTTTTAACTAGAATATATTTTTAAATATCAGCAACCGATACCCTTCTTTCTTATCATAAACAATTTTTCCATCAAGAGATACCAATAAAGCAAAATATGTAAGGAACCAAAAATGTGATAGAGAAACCTACCATTCCATAGGTAATGTACCGATAAGGAAGTTCAACTTCCATGTGTTGTCTTGCTTTTCGAATGTCATCACATGGTATACTGAAGATTTTACAGGCTAAAGGAATGGTGATCTTTTTCATTATATTTCTGACTATTAGTACAAATACCATTCCTATAAGGATCCGCATTATGGCTTTTCCAAAAAGAGTCACAGTAATGGGGGGTCTAACTAAAGGTAACATATCCACAGAAGGATCTAACATTAGACCCATGTTATAGGTAACATGAGAACCACATGCAATTCCAGCACCACTTCCTAAAATCTCAGCTGTGTCTCCTCGGGACGTACTCCAGGTGTCGAGAGTGAAAGAAAAGATCCCCAAGGCTAAGTGAAGCCCAATGATGATTAATGGAGCATATTTGTGAGTTTGGTTGAAGTTGTCAATCAGGTCCACAAATGGATAGAAGACAGCTAAAATTAAAATGGTATATAGGAATCCAGCAATAATATCCTGGGAAAAGAGAAAAGTAAAGTTGTTTAGTATAACACTATTTTTGGCCTTAAAAATATATATATTTCACATCTTGAATGTTAACAGATACAAATTTTTAAAATATGTCACATCCTCAAAGTAAACTTTACTAACTGGCCATATAATGGGTACTAAAAACTGTCTGAATGATAATAAAAAGATTAATAATAAAAGAATTGTTTTCATAATTCTACCCTTTTATAAATTAATTTACAGTGTTAAAAGTATATATAAATGTAAGTATTTATAAATTTAAGTAAACATATATACTATACAAATTTATATTCAAATCTTTCACAAGTAAATATGCTTCAATTACGTGGTTTTGATTTCTGGGAAAAAGAATATACTTATTTTTCAAAGACACCATATTCATTTTCATTCACTTAAACATATAATTCAAAATTAGAGAGGCTAGAAAGCCTGAGTAGTTTTCTTTTCTTGTTTATTCATTCATTCATTCATTCATTCACTGAACAAATACTTACTGAGTACCTACGTATGCCTGGCACTATTTTAGGGACTGAGGATACATTACTTAAAGAATGACAAGATTCCTGCTGTCAAAGAGCTTATATTATAATAGAAAAGACTGCTATATACTGTTTTACTTTCAATAACCCTGTAAGTAAAACAGTAGATAAATATTACAATTTCAGGTAGTTATAAGTGTTATGAAGTAAACTGAAACAGGACAATGGGACAGTATGCTGAAAGAACCTATTAGAGTGATCACAGAAACCTAACTGAGGATGTGACACTTGCTCAGAGGAGACCTGATTCCCAAAAGAAATCAGCACTATCTTTAGATCTAAGGAAAAGCATTCTAGGTATTGAGAATACCAAATGTCAAGAGCTGGAGGCAGAAAAGATCCTCGTGAGTTTGCAGCAGAAAGAAGGAACTCCTACCTTTTGCAACAGCATGGATAGCACTGGAGACTATTATGCTAAATGAAATAAGCCAGTCAGTGATGCTAAATGAAATAAGCCAGTCGATGAAAGACAAATACCATATGATCTCACCTATAAGTGGACTCTAGTAAACAAAATAAACTAATGAACAAAATAGAACCACAGGTGTGGAAACGTGGAGCACACTGAAAGTAACCAGAGGGGAGGGGAGTGGGAGACAATGGTGGAAAGAAGGGGAAGGTACTAAAAAAAGACATGTATGAATAACCCACAGACATGGAAATCTGTGGGGATTGACTGTGGGAGCGGGGGGTGGGATGGGCAGAGGAGGGCAAAGGAGGAAAAACTGACACAATTAGAATAACAATAAAAATGATTAAAAATACTAACTAAATAAATGAAAAATGAAATAATGTTGATAACAACGACAACAAAATACCCTACTGAGTTCAAGAAACTAAGAAAAATCCAGCGTGACTCAAACACTGAGCAAAGGAAAGAGGGATGTGGTATGAAGTCAAAGAGATAAGCAAACGCCTAATCATTTAGGCTCTTACAGACTAAGTAAGCAGTTTAAATTTTATTTCAAAAGTGATAGGGAGCCACGGAAAGATTCCAAAGCAGGAGTGCAACACTCCATCTGCTGTCTAGACAATGAATCAGAGAGGAAAAGTATGGAATGGACAGGTGACCACTGAAAACAGTGGCGGGAGGCCGCTGCAGAGGTTCGCTCTAGACATGGTTCATGTCTACACGAAGAAAAGTACACAGATGGATTTAGTAAACTATTTTAACACCAGAGCCAACAAGTTCAACTTGGTGATAGATTAAATGTGGGAGAGAAGCCGAAGAGAAAGGGGTCAAAGATGACTCCTAGCTTTAGGCATGAACAATTTGGGTAGGTGACAAAAAATGGCTTACTGGAAGAATTAAAGTTATTATTAAAAGAACTTTGGCTTCTGAAGAATTCCTGACACGAACAAACTGTGTTCGGAATATCTACCTGGGACCTATTCTCTGTCACTGAAAATTTAATCAAGAGTTGCTTATATTCACTTCCTCACTTCTTATTTTTTCTACACTCATCACTATACTGAAATCACGCTTTTCATACTAGTTATCTTAAAAAAAATCTTCACCTGAGAATATGTTTTATTGCTTTTCAGAGAGAGAGGAGGGAGGGCAGGGGAGAGAGAGAGAGAGAGAGAAACATCAATCAATTGGTTGCCTCCCATACATGACCTGACCAGGGATCAAACCCACAACCCAGGTATGTGTCCTGACTGGGGATGGAACTGATGGCCTTTGTGGTGTATGGGATGACACTCCAACCAACCCGGCCAGGGCTTCATACTAGTTATCTTTATGCTGCCAATAACAATGGCCACTCGACATCACTCAACACAGTTAAGCAAACTAGTTGCTTAATGTTTTTCGGCCTTAAAATTTTTACTATGTGACATTTGGTACACAGAAAAAGATATGTGGAGTGTATAAGAACTTCTCCAAATAAAATATCATCTAGTTTTGCTTCTTTATGAACTTTATAAAAGTTTTATGTAGCATGGAACCTTCTTTGATTTGCTTTGTACACTAAACATTAAGTTTTGAGATTCATTCACTGTGTCATTCACTTTCACAACTGTGTAGTATTTTGCTATGTGATTAAACAATTTACCCATTTTCCCACTGATGGTCATTTTGGTTGTTCTCAGGGTTTGGATTAATTTATTGTCATAGTTGAACTCGAATGTTTCTTAAGTGGTATGTATTCTTAAGCCAACCAGGAATATTATAAACAATGCTCTCTTTCTTTTGATATACCTTGGTGTGAGTCTGTAAGTTTCTCAGGATATATGCCTAGGAATGGAATGGCAGAATCTTAGGATAAGTGCATGTTCAATTTTACAAGACAATAAAAAATTTCCTAAATGTTTGTAGAAGTTTATATCGGATGAGTCATTACATTTTCCTGATTATTATTTTTTATAAATTCATGGGCTATTCCTTTTCTATGCAACATATATTGTGTTTTCTAGGCAACTATTCTTTGGTTTTTCTTCTTGCTGATTTACATTTCTTTATATAGTCTTTGTATAAATCCTTTATCAATAAAATCTATCAATAATATGTGCCATAAACATCATTTTGGCATTTGTGGCTTGCCTTTTCATTTGCCTTATGGCATCTTTTGATGAACATAAGTCCTAACTTTTAATGTAGTTGTATTATCAGTGCTCTTGTTTAAGAAAGCCTTCCCTGCTGCAAGATCATAAAAAAATGTTAATCAAAAAATTTAAGTTTGCCTTTTATGTTGAAGACTTCAATATACCCAAAATTTCTGCCACTGTCCTTATTGTACAGTAACAGTACAATAAAAACTTTGTTGTGGATTGGAAGAGTCAAAAATATAATACTTGAAACCAATATTCTAAAAAATATTCTTTTCCAAATCAGAATACTTCACAGGGGTGTCCAACCTGTGGCCCAAGGGTCTCACGTGTGGCTCAGGATGGCTATGAATGTGGCCCAAAACAAGATTGTAAATTTACTTAAAACATTATGAGATTTTTTTGTGATTATGTATCACAATATAGTTAATGTGTGGCTTAAGACAATTATTCTTCCAGTGTGGCCCAGGGATGCCAAAAGGTTGGATACTGCTGCTAGAATATAAGAACGGTTAGAGAAGATACAATTACTAAACAGACTAAGAGTTGAATGTTTAAGAATTTTTGAGGCAATATTTTGTTCACTATAGATTACATTTTGTTGGCTACAATCCACCAAGTAGCTTAGCATACTGTAGACACTCAAATATTTGTTTAATGGATGAATGAATGAGTGAATGAATTCTCTCACTGATATTTTCCTATTTTATAATACTAAGTGAGATCATTTAAAATTTTAATTGTTTTATGTAAGTGACTCCTTTAACAGTAGGTCTAGGGAAAATAATAATTAACAAAATGAATTTACAGACTATTTCCTCTCATTTTGAGATTACCTTTCCCACCTATGTTTTAGGCAAATTATTTCATATCTTTCGAGGCTCTGGTCAGGCATCTATATCCTCCATAAACTTTCTCCTCTTATTCCACAATAAGAAACTTTGTCCTCTCTGCTTCCTTAGCATCTTCTACAACCTGCTACAACAGTTACTACATTGTTTCCCACTTCTTTGCTTGCTTATTTCTCCTGGAAAGCCAAAGGTTCACAACTCTTGCTGCCCATTAAAGTCACTCAAAGAACTTAACAAAAATATCGATGCTTGGGCCAATCCTCAGAGATTCTTGTCTTTTTAAAAAATTGATTTGAGAGAGTGAGAGAGGAAGGGACGGGGAGGGAGGCAGGGGGAAATAGAAACATTTGTTTGTTGTTCCACTTATTTATGCGTTCACTGATTGATTCTTGTATGTGCACGGATTGAACCCACAATTTTGGCATATCAGGATGATGCTGTATGCTCTATTATGCTCTATCCTGAGCTACTAGGCCAGGGCTCTGACCTAACTGAGGTGGAAGTGTGGAAGTGGAGCTTCAGCATTTTTAAAAATAGCTCCCCAGTGATTCTACTGTGTAACCCTGTTGAAATTTACTGCATTACACATTTATATTACATATTAGTATTTAGACTGTGACTTCTCAAGGCAAAGACTTTATCTTCTTTATACATATATACCCAGTGCCTGACACACAGTAAACAGGCAATAAATACTTGGTTAAATTAAGACATTTAAAGCAATTCCTTAGACTCATCACACTTTGCTTGACAAGAACTCTGTAAAATAGCCCTGGCTAGTGTGGCTCAGTGGGTTGAACGCCAGCCTGCACACTGAAATATCGCCAGTTCAATTCCCAGTCAGGGCACATGCCTGGGCTGCAGGCCAGGTTCCTGGCTGGGGGCACCTGAGAGGTAATCGATCAATGTTTCTCACCTTCTTTTTCTCCCTCCCTTCCCCACTCTCTAGAAATGAATAAATATTTTTTAAAAAAGAACTCTGTAAAAGAAATAAATGAAACATAATTTCTTTCTTTTTTTAAGGATTTTATTTATTTCATTCTTA